AGAATCGTTGCACTCAATAGCTCGTAGGTCCTCACTTACGAGCCTATTTCGATGAAGCTGTAAAGGCCGTAGGGCCAACAGCATACACTATCAGAAAAAAAGCATCGAGGCATTCCATACGAAAGCGGCAAAGATCACACTCAAGAAAGAAAGAAGGCTCAAAACTCCCAAGAAAATATTCCCTCTATTGTATATATTAATTTAATTAGTAATTGCCGCTATTGTAAATAGTTTAACAATATATAATTGTAAAGTGTATTACCTTTTCTTTCTAATACAGACCCCTTAGAGCTATCGAAGTAAATAAATAAAGTCAACAACAGTCCCTAGTAGTAATTTCCCCTTTTGTTTCTTATACTCTACACATTCAGTTCGTACTGATGTGAACGAGTTTACTCATATTAGTACTGTTGAAGACTAGAGGAGTCTTAAATGTTGATGAGGAGGTGGAGGAAATGTATGAGGATATCTCTAGAGCCATGCATTCCTCCAAAACCCAATATACGGTGTTAATGGGAGACTTCAATGCAAAACTAGGCACAAGAGAGAGCTGAAAGTAGGGAAATTTGGAATAGGGCAACGGAACCCAAGGGGCCAGCAGCTGGCTGACTTCATGGAGAAAGAGGGACTCTTTATGATGAACTCTTTCTTCCAGAAGCGGCCCCACAGGAAGTGGACCTGGTCGAGCCCCGACGGTTCGACAAAAAATGAGATTGACTTCATTATGACGACCAGATGACAACTGTTCAGTGATGTCTCAGTGATCGCAAGGGTGAAAATCAGCAGCAATCACCGAATGGTTAGAGGCATACTGAACCTAAACGTTAAGTTGGAGAGGTCTCGTATAATGAAGTCAACGCTCCGTCCCCCTCGTGCTCTGTTCCAAAGTCCCGAAACCTTTCAGCTCGAGTTTTAAAACCGTTTTCAGTACCTAGAAGACTGCAATGAAGTGGACGATATGAATGACAAGCTCGTGGAATCTGTCCATGCGGTCGGAGCTAAGTTCTGCAAGACCCGCCGCAGAAGAACACAAAACTCTACGCTCACACATTTAATCTCATGGCTGTTAGACGGGAGATGAAGCTACATTCCTCAACAGATTTGACAGCATACAGGCAACTGAACAGACAGATCTCCAAATGCATGCGGCGGGACTTACACAACTTCAATACAGCTCGTATTGAAGAAGCGATCGAGCGGAACCAAGGCTCCAAAGTCTTTGCCAGAGATCTGTCTGCCAGAAAGAGCCAACTGTCAAAGCTGAAGACAGAATGTGGCAGCATCGTTTCCGGGGCACCTGAGATTTTGAGTGAGATTGAGAGGTTCTATGGGCAGCTGTACACGTTATCGTTGGAGCCACACGCGAGTGTGAGTAACGATCCAAGAGCGAGTCTTATCCGACATTATTCCGATGATATCGGTCGTCGACGTCAGTCTGAGCGAGATTAGAATGGCTCTTCAGCACCTTAAAAACGGCAAGGCCCCAGGCGAGGATGGAATTACAGCGGAGCTTCTGAAAGCATGTGGAAAACCGGTACTTGAAGTCCTTCAGAAGCTCTTTAATTCCGTCCTCCATGGTGGCATTACACCGGAGGCGTGGAGCAGAAGTGCGGTGGTCTTGTTCTTCAAGAAAGGCGACAACGCTCTCTTGAAGAACTACAGACCGATTTCCCTTCTGAGCCGCGTCTACGTGCTGTCTTCGAGAGTAATTACGAATCGTCTCGCGCGCAGACTTAACGACTTCCAGCCTCCCGAACAAGTCGGTTTCCGAAAAGGCTTTAGCACCATAGACCACATACATACCCTTCGGCAAATTGTACAAAAGTCAGAGGAGTACAATTTGCCCCTATGTCTGGCGTATGTGGACTATGAGAAAGCCTTTGATTCCGTCGAAATTTGGGCGGTGCTGCAGTCCCTTCAGCGGTGCCAAGTGGACTGTCGGTATATCGAAGCGCTGAAGTGCTTGTATAGTAGGGCTACGATGGCTATCCGAGTACAGAACCAGAGTACGAAACCTATCCAATTACAGAGAGGTGTAAGACAGGGTGACGTCATATCCCCGAAACTCTTCACCGCTGCATTGGAAGACGTTTTCAAGCTTCTGGACTGGAAAGGATACGGTATCAATATCGATGGCGAGTACATCACTCACCTTCGATTTGCCGACGATATAGTCCTTATGGCAGAATCGCTGCAGGACCTAAGCACTATGCTCAATGACCTCAATAGTGCTTCCCAACGGATAGGTCTTAAGATGAACATGGACAAAACAAAGATCATGTTTAATGTCCATGTCACACCTATGCCGGTAGTTGTTGGGAGCGCTAAGCTCGAAGTTGTTGACCAACTTCGAACGAGAGGTCAATCGACGAATTCAACTCGGTTGGGCAGCATCCGGAAAATTACGGCACATCTGGTATACCTCAAAACTTGAAAACGAGACTGTACAACCAGTGCGTGTTGCCTGCCAGTGATGACATACGGAACTGAGACGTGGTCCTTCACTGCTGGCCGGATGAGGAAGCTCAAGGTCGCTCAGCGAGCTATGGAGAGGGCTATGCTCGGAGTTTCTTTGCGTGATAAACTCAGAAATGAGGATATCCGCAGTAGAGAGTGACCGACATAGCCCAACGGATTAGTAAGCTGAAGTGGCAATAGGCCGGCCATATAGCTCGAAGAACCGGCAACCGATGGGGGTAAAAGATTCTCGAGTGGCAGCCTCGTACCGGCAGACGAAGTGTTCGGCGTCCCCCCACTAGATGGAGTGACAACCTGGTAAGATATGCAGGAAGTCGATGGATGCAGGTGGCTCAGGACCGTGCTTTGTGGCATTCCTTAGGGGAGGCCTATGTTCAGCAGTGGACTTGTGAAGGGCTGTAATGATAATGATGATGATGATGCTGAGGGTTAGTATGTCTCTTCCTCGGGCATTGTTACAAACGATATGCCAGACTCTATGTTTACTATTAAAATCGCTTGCTAAAATGAGCACATCATAGTGCACCTAATGGTAAGTGGATGCTATGCCCCATAGACATCTACATCTATCGTCGATTAAGAATCAAAATGCGTTTTCACCCCTGAGGACTTAAATGGAATGCCTCGTTACCCGTGAAAAGAGAGATCCTTTGGGTCAGCAATTATGAATTCAACAATCTGGCTCGACTGAAAAAAATAAAAGGGATCACCAATCCGAATCAAAGGAAACAAAATACAATGGTGGAGCGCGTGTACGTGTTTGTTGGATATATCGTGTCAGAGTTTATCTTTACTGTAGTGTTTGTTGGATAAAGTTTATTTTGTAATAGATGCGGAATAAATGACAGCTCCGGTTAATTTAATTATATATTTTCTATTTTGATTCATGGATACAGCAAACCTATTCAGCAATGGGAGAGATGCATATCTATACCATTTGGATCAGTGATGTAAATATGTAAATAGGTTTCTCGTTTTTTAATAACAAAGTTTTATTTTGAGTATTTTTTTATAAAGTGAATATTAAAAATCGGTGAAAAGAAAAAATTAAACTAAAAACTAAAATTTTCATACAGTCCTACTCATTGTATTGTGCCAAGAACGCTGGCTGCGTTTCCTCGCTGAATGGCTATATTAAGCCTTTGAGCGAGAAAAGAATCAACGATGACCAGTCGCGGATATAGTTCCTTTAGGAATTATAATTATAATAATATACTATAATTTGAATATGTATAACTCGCTCAGAGTTTACTGTGTGGTAGGACTCTTTTTCTGCCTAGAAACCACTGTATTGCCTATATCTACCGTTGGTGCACTGTTGTGCTCCTTTATACAGGTTACAGACAGCCAGTATAGTAACAGATTGTGGCATTACTGCTTAACCTTACTGTTACTATTTTTAATTACTATTTGTAATTTACTGCTTTACCATCAAGAGTGGGTGATATGTCAAGTGGGTTTTAAGAAAAATTGAGATCGTATGCTGAGGCATTACGGCTTACTTCTCAAGGATAGTTAGTAAAAAAAAATCATGAAGCTGTAATTATTTCTGTGGACGTACCGGACGTTTATCATGTAGATAACCTTTTAAGCCGACTTCAAAAAAGGAGGAGATTAACTTCGACTGTTTGTTTTTTGTATGTATGCTACTCGATATCTTTCTCAATTGAGAACCAATATCGATGATTCTTTTTAATTAAATAGGTTAGGTTAGGTAGGCCCCCTGAAGTGTGATCCCATATTAATTTGGGAAAAATATTTCACCCCTTAAGGGTGGAAACATAGGGAATGATTTTTTTAATGAAACTACGTATTTAGACATATTGAGATAGTGATATATATCTTTATCCACTTGAAGAGGTTAAAAAATTAGCTTTTGATAAAAAATAAATGACGACTACGGATGAAATAATTTTACATTCTGAAGTCTGGGCTTTTATTTTACCATACAATATATACACCTTAGTACCTATTATAGCACTTATATATTAGCACCTTAAACATTTTAAACTTTTTTTTTTAAATATTTTGTGCTGCTATAACTGGAATAAGCGTGATTCGTTCTTAATAGGTTTCTTAGTTTTACGCTCATCCGCCGACTAATCCCAGGTGGTTATAGCTTGTTGTCGATTTTTACATTATTATTATCATCATAAATTTTATTTTTATTATACTAAAATAATTTTTCTTGTGTCTCAATAAACCTTAAAGAACTAAAATGCCTTATAGTGGATAATCATGACATAATATAATTTTTCTGATGGTATTTCATGTTAGTTACTTACACTTATACTTATTATAGAATGTTACTTCTTTATGCTCACTTAAATCGCGTTAGACAATAAATACTTTATGTCAAAGTTTTACATTCTGAGACTGTGAAGCTCCAAGCAGATATTTCCTGTTAATCTTGTTTATATGTGCCGCGAAGTACGAGCGCATGATTGTTTGTTCTCATTTGGATATAGTCAGTCCGCGGTAAACACACGTTTACGTTTCTGTGAAAACGTAACTTTGAAAATATGATTCGTGCGAAATATTTATTTATTTACTTGTTAATACAATTTGTTTTGGAGTTCACATGTAACTTATATTTTAAAAAAATGTTCCGGGTTGATATGCACAAAAACTCAGAAATAATTATTAAATTTTACAAATAATATTTCAGATGCACAACCGCAAGTTAAGTTTTTTAGAGATGATTACAAATATTTGGAGGATACGCGGAGCTTTTATAAAGTACACACAATACACAGGACGTGGGAAAATGCGACGAGGAGATGCGCATTGGAAGGTGCTTCTCTATTCTATCCCGAAGATCAAAATGAGGCTGATGTAGTCCTAACCCACTTAAAGGAGACGCAGCCTTCATATCAATGGGTGTTTATTGGTATTTCATCCAAACTTGCAAAAGGAGTCTTTAAAACTATAGATGGTAAGTATATATCTGTACATATACGCTGAGGTTATTAACGTATCGTGATTTAATGTGACTTCGATAATTACTGACATTTTATAGTTGCGTTGATACTGATGTAGTGCAACACTTAAAGTAACAAATGAGTTGTACTAATTTTGCAATTGGCATCCCGAATTACTAAATAATGATGTAGGATATTTATTTTTTAATTAAATAAGGACAAATTGCTGCGGTGCTATCTTTCTCAAAAAAATTCACATAAACTGCTATGAAGGTACGTCTTATTGAGTACAAAATTTATTTATATACGTGTTAAAGATAAGCATATGATAAACAGAGAAGAAGACCTAGCAGTCAGAAGTCAACTGATATTTCCTCAGATTTTACGTCATACTAATAAAAAATCTTTATTTAGTGCTTTAGGTAAGAACAGCTAATTTTAGTCGTCGAGTCATTGTTATTCTACAGAGAATATAATGTGTAATTTGTAAATCAAATTTCAATTTTATATGAACTTGATTAATGGCAGTTAGGGCGATTGAGCGGAGCGTGCTGTGGCCCTTGCCTTATTATAAGCATTTCAAAAGATAATAATTGTATCTTTTGAAATGCTTATAATATATAAGTATTATTTTCTGACTTACACGTTATTTGTGCCTACATTACTAAGACCAGTGTTGGGTTTATTTGTTTTGCTGTTTTCATAATTATTTGCTTATTGTTTTTGCAGGACTTTCAATAAGACAAGTATATAACAAATGGGCACCAGGCGAGCCCAATGACAGCAACGGTGAAGAAGACTGCGTTATACTGCGCCGAGATGGTACACTTAATGATGATAAATGCTCCAAAAGGAATCCATTCATTTGCAAAAAGACTCTGGCATCTCTCAAGTGGAATGAGGAGTGCAATGTTCCTTATATGGGTACGTGCCTTTTGATTTTACTTGTTCAGAATAAATTGCGTTTCTTCTGCTTATGCTCTTCTTCTTCTCCAACATCCCGTCAAGTTTTTTAGGTGCTAGGATTCCATTTCTGCCAAAGAGTCCATCGGTTGGATACCACCCTCTTAATTATTGCAGTCGCTAGATAACAGTGCTTGTGCTGCTGTATTTTGGTCTAAAGAATCTTGAGAGACATTCTCTATCTTACTTCTAAGAGGTTATAACGCATTCGTAGCTCCCAGTAAGCTGCAGGCGTCCCTGGACCGCAGTAGCCACTCTTACTATCAGGTTGACTGTACGTTTGTGTGTTACTTCAGTTTTATAAAATAAGTCCACTGCTAGACAGAGGTCTCTCCAGATGTAGGGAGGATCTGCCACAATCGTCATGCTCGGCAGGTTGGTTGGTGATCATAATACTATTCACTTCTGTCACTTCTTCCCGTTGCCAAAACTAAGTTCAAAACTAGTGAGATGCGGCAAGTAAATTCTATGTAAGAACGTTCGAAGGAGGCGGAGTTATAGCCGAAATAAGAATTTTTAATTTTTTTGTGTTTTGGCTATTTTGATCCCTAGGAGTGTAATGAGAACTTTTTGCCCCTATTCAACCATGACCCCCCATGACATCCTCTACATGATAGACTATACAAACTGACTGTGCCTAAAGCTCGAGCCACCCCCCCAATGTTTTGGTTTTTGGCCATTTTGACCCCTAGGAGTGTAATGAGAACTTTTTCCCCTATTCAACCATGACCCCCGTGACATCCTCTACATGATAGGCTATTCAAACTGACTAAGCCTAAAGTTCGAGCCACCCCCCAACTCATTTCTAGTCTTTACTTCCAAAAAACTAAGAAATACATGTTTCAGGATTTTTTGGAACTTCCACTGCAAAGAGGGTGATTTAGGTGATAAAAGCTTGCATAAAATTACGTAATTTTTAAGTAAAGAATGAAAATTTGTATTTAGCCTTGAAATTTAAAACTAAAAGACACTCTTTTCAGTATTATTGACAATTCTTCCCTATGGTATCTAAAATTAAGGATGAAAGATAGTATGAAGTTATGCCATATTTTAATTTTATACTAGCAATGCTATAAACATTACCTTGTAAGCTTAAAATGCTTTTGTTAGGAGTGGTTTACGACAGTAGACAGTAGTCTAATAGAGGATTCGAACATACGACCTTTTGAGTTCGCGGTCCGCACCCTGTCATTGGGTTACTTTCGCTTCAAAAATCTTTGTTAATACTATTAAAGACTTTCAATTCTGTTATACGCTTTTGATTAGAAACTATGTAACACGTGTTTAAGGATTTTTTGATACACCACCCTTAAGCGGGAAAATAGGGGATAAAAGAAAAATTATAAAATATTGTAATGCGGTTTTCAATCAGGCAGTATTTTATTTACTGTAAGTACAATAATACACATGGAAGCAAAAATAAAATGGGATAAGTAGCACAATAGGTGGTCTTATCGCTCTGGATGCGATTTCTTACAGACAATCTTTTTAGGCAAATAATTATTTACACGCTATGAGGTAGATAGTATGTAAGTATGTATGAGGTAGAAGTGCATACATTCTAATATTAAGTTAAATAAAATAAAAATAAAAACAAGGGATGATGACAGTTCAGAAAAGCAGCATAGATACAAGAAAGGACGGGAAGTAGGTATATTAAAAGTCTAATATTTCCAAGTAATAAGTTTTCAGTAAATTTTTAAAGTTAAAGGAAAGAAGGTATTGAGAAGGAGTAAGTATAAATAATGGCGATTATTTTATTTTATCTTTTAATTATTTTTTATTTAAAAACTTAAATGTAACACTAAAGTACATAAGGCGAGTTTAATGTCATGTGGCATACTCTGCCAGTCAACCCTGGGTGCCAAAGACAATAGTTGGCAGGTGCGAATAAAGCGTCATCATCATCATCATTACAGCCCTTCACAAGTCCACTGCTGAACATAGGCCTCCCCCAAAGAATGCCACAAAGCACGGTCCTGAGCCACCTGCATCCATCGACTTCCTGCATGTCTTACCAGGTCGTCACTTCATCTCGTGGGGGGACGCCCTACACTTCGCCTACCGGTACGAGGCTGCCACTCGAGAACCTTTCTTCCCCATCGGTTGTCGGTTCTTCGAGCTATATGGCCGGCCCACTGCCACTTCAGCTTACTAATCCGTTGGGCTATGTCGGTTACTCTGGTTCTACTGCGGATATCCTCATTCCTAAGTTTATCACGCAGAGAAACTCCGAGCATAGCCCTCTCCATAGCTCGCTGAGCGACCTTGAGCTTCCTCATACGGCCAGCAGTGAAGGACCACGTCTCAGTTCCATAGGTCATCACTGGCAACACGCACTGGTTGTACAATTTCGTTTTCAGGTTTTGAGGTATGTCTGACGAGAAGATATGTCGTAGCTTCCCGAACGCTGCCCAGCCGAGTTGAATCCGTCGATTGACCTCTCGGTCGAAGTTGGACTTACCTAGTCGGACTATTTGTCCCAGGTAAACATACTCGTCAACAACTTCGAGCTTAGTGCTCCCAACAACTACCGGCATAGGTGTGACATGGACATTGAACATGATCTTTGTTTTGTCCATGTTCATCTTAAGACCTATCCGAAACACTATCGAGGTCATTGAGCATAGTGCTTAGGTCCTCCAGCGATTCTGCCATAAGGACTATATCGTCGGCAAATCGAAGGTGAGTGATGTACTCGCCATTGATGTTGATAACGTATCCTTTCCAGTCCAGAAGCTTGAAAACGTCTTCCAATGCAGCGGTGAAGAGTTTCGGGGATATGACGTCACCCTGTCTTACACCTCTCTACAATTGGATAGGTTTCGTACTCTGGTTCTGTACTCGGATAGCCATCGTAGCCCTACTGTACAAGCACTTCAACACTTCGATATACCGACAGTCAACTTGGCACCGCTGAAGGGACTGCAGCACCGCCCAAATTTCGACGGAATCAAAGGCTTTCTCATAATCCACATACGCCAGACATAGTGGCAAATTGTACTCTTCGGACTTCTGTACAATTTGCCGAAGGGTATGTATCCACATACATACCCTTCGGCAAATTATTAATAGACCACTCTATGGTGCTAAAGCCCTTTCGGAAACCGGCTTGTTCGGGAGGCTGGAAGTCGTCAAGTCTGCGCGCGAGACGATTCGTAATGACTCTCGAAAACAGCACGTAGACGCGGCTCAGAAGGGAAATCGGTCTGTAGTTCTTCAAGAGAGCGTTGTCACTTTTCTTGAAGAACAAGACCACCGCACTTCTGCTCCACGCCTCCGGTGTAATGCCACCATGGAGGACGGAATTAAAGAGCTTCTGAAGGACTTCAAGTACCGGTCTTCCACCCGCTTTCAGAAGCTCCGCTGTAATTCCATCCTCGCCTGGGGCCTTACCGTTTCTAAGGTGCTGGAGAGCCATTCTAATCTCGCTCAGACTGACGTCCGGGATATCTTCGGAATAGTGTCGAATAAAGCGTACATGTATTAAAATATAATATATACATAGTACATACATATCCAACACATATTTAAATATGCATATATATACACACACATATATATATATATATATAATGTGTATATATGCTTATAAATAAATATCCGTATGTGAATATATAAATAAATAAATATGTGAAGAAAAAAAGAAAGAAAAATAATGTCAGTTAGTAATTGCCTCGGGTAATGTTGTCGTAGAAGTAATTTGAAGGAGGTTTTATTTGTTGCATTCTTAATATCATTGGGGAGGATGGTCTAAAGCTCTAAAGATGTTTATATCGTATATGCCTGTATCATAAAAGAGGACATAAAAAATTGACGTATGCTGTGGAAACGTTATCCTCATACGGCTTTATTGTCGTGATGTTCGACCGACAATCGAAAGACGAAAATCAAAGTTATCCTTAAGATAAGAAGGCGACCTTGGATCGTTTAGTACAAATACAAGTAAAATTCAAATAAAATATAATAGGAAGATATGTGGTCATTTTTACGTAAACCGAAAATAAACCTTATGGGATTATTAAGAAGGCGATCCAACTTATTTTGAAGATTTCGTGACAGATCTGTGTAACATACATCTGCATAATCGATAATCTGGTTTTGAAAGGTAGGAAATTTTTAAGACGACAAAGGGAACGCAAAGTGGCCACAACTTTACGACTTACTTCAGAGACCTGCAATTTCCAGATCATAGTTTTGTCTGTGATTTTTTATGGAATCACAATATGGATTCAAAGTTCCATTATTATTTACAGGAGGATTCCATAATCAATCTTAGCCAGTAATTGATTGAATGAGATTATGTAGAACCAATGAGTTCTACATGTATGATAAATTTACTATAGTACGAAGAGAAAGATTTTAGAATAGTTTTACAATTCCAAATACCTTAGGCTAAGTTAAAATTGTCAATCAATATCATTAAGACATATGAGCAAATTTCCACGTGATAGATAGCTGTGATAAATGGATCATGACTGCATGAACGCATAATTTGCATGCGCGTGGCACTGCGGGGCAAAAAGTTAGTTCTATACAGGACTATTTTGCAATATATGACCAAATTAGCAGAGAAGGTTCAGAATAAGCAACTTAAGCGAATGGTGAAAAAAAAATTAAAAAATCTCAAATATTCTGTCCTTTTTATCTTTTTAATTCAGAATGCGTGGTAATGCATAATTTAACTGATCGTCATTCAAAAATATCTAACGCCTACTATTTTACTACGCACACGAATGTGTATTCGTAAGGGTTACTCGGTCGGCAAAAACTTTGTGTATTTAATCGCACACAGAGGAGCGCGCGTATCCATAGTTGTTGCCTATAAATCATATTCAATTTGAGATAATTTCAAATAAAAGTAGAAGTCTTATTTACTCGTATTTTAAAAAACTGCAATAACGGTATACCATTATTTATATTTATATTTGAACTTTAGTATAAAATTTGGCTACACTTTGAAAAATAAGTCTGTATATAAGAGATAGATATGTGTTTCCGAGTTGCTTCAATATAGTTTGTATTCGACCAGAAAATATTTTTATATTCTTTTTCCAACATGTTTCTTCGTCATTTCAGATTACAAATATAACGAAGATTTAGGCCGATGCTACAAATTTCACTTAAATCCCCTCAATTGGAGAGATGCGATTGACGCGTGCGACTCTGAGAATGCCTACTTAGCCATTATCAATTCCCAAAAAGAAGCAGACTATCTTGTTAACATAACTGCGGAAGCGCCTAAGAACAAGGTGAAGGGATCGCACTTACGGGGAGCTGTTCATCTAGGATTCAGCTACGATACGTCTGAAAACGAATGGAGAACAACTACAGGTTTGCTTAACTTTATACAACAATAAAGTGACTACAAAGCGCGCAGCAAATGAGCCGTAGTTATAATATACAAGCAAACCGAGTTTGATCCTTTCCAGCACCTATGAAATTGTGAGTTCTATTCTTAAGCGCTGATTTACCACGTTTCCGGTGGTAAAGAAAACGTCGTGAAATTTCTGCATGTCTAAGAAATTTAAATTACTATTCCACTTGATGGTTAGTCGCATTGACGCAATCCTAGATTGTAACCCGTGTTACGTATAAGATCAGGACATCAAACGACTGTGTGCCCTGTCATCAAGGGTAATAAACATCTGAAATGTAGTTACAAGTACGTCTTACTCCTGTTATAGTTGCCTTCTATTTATTTAAGGTTCTCTTACCATTCAAACTGGAATGTGGCAGAGAGTACTTCATTGTACATACTTAAGGGCAAATCATACAAGATATAATGTTATTTAACATGGTTTAACAAGTAATGTTGTGCAAGTTTAATGTTCTGAATAGTGTGGTAAAATAGACATGGCATGGCATTTGCTTCTCTTGAGCTAGAAAAGAAATGGAACTCATGGAATTTCAGCTTCACATTAATAAAATATTATATTAAGGCCCATTTTAGCCGACTCCAAAAAAAGGAGGATGTTCTCAATTAGACTGTTTGTTCATTTTTTGTATGTTTGTTAATATAAATCTGGAGAAAATTACCACCCCTAAGGTATAGAAAATATTAAATATTATATAAATATACTAATGAAACTATTTAGACGACATTCAAGTTGTTATCGTGAGCTTGTAATATTTCTTAGTCCACCCAAATGGATCTAAAAATTAAACTTTTATTATAAAGTAAATGAAAAGCCGTCTTCAAAGAATTAAAAATATTAAAACCATTATCACAACTATGTCTTTGTTTGTTCACACTTAGTATCGACTGCAGAAGCTATTATTTGGAAACTATTTTATTAATTTATTAAAGTAAAAAAAAAACTTTTTATTACCAGTTAAATCTTTATCGTTATATTTCATTCTTGTCCAAGTTGATTCTTAATTGATGAAAATCTAGGTGTCTACGGAACACAGTATAACTTACCATCAGGTGTAATGTGTGCGCGTTTGTCACCCTTAATATATGCGGTAGAGCCATGTTGCAGCCATTGAGTTATAAGTATAGTACACATATATCGATGGTTGCAGCTATATTATGGTTGTAGCACGAATGGGTCGGTTCGACCGGGGAAGGACTACGGTGTCACTGAATACCAAAGTAAAATAACAGCTCAATGCTGTGTGAGTGCAGAGAACCGGAAATTCTTTTTACTGGCTGCGAAGCATTAAATCTTAGTCCTCAGGGATGACAGCGCATCTGCATTTTGATTCTTAATCGGGGATAGATGTAGATATCTATGGGCCACATCATTCACTTACCATCAGGTGGGCTGTGTGCTCAATTGCCACCCTTATTCTATAAAAAGAATTATGAAAAAAAAAACTATATTTCTTTATATAAATGTTTGTGTCTGTCACAATGCATTTAATGAGTGGGTGACAGTAGGAATTCATAAAAGCAGACGAAGATTATATGAACTTTACCATGAACGATCATATAATATTTCCGACACTTTTAGAAAATATGTCAAAATTATTCTAAAATGTTAAAAAAAATGAACTCCACAGCCAAATCTTTACATACAAAATAAGACTGCTAAAAATCAAATTAAAATGACGTGGACTATAATTAATAGTAAAACCGGTAAAGACATCGAGGTATGTCTTTACCGGTTTTACTATTAATTATACATCATATCAATTGTTAATTTTTTTAATAAATATAAATTACTCCATAAAAATCAATTTGGTTCCAAAAGGAGTCGCTCAACGACTGACGCAGGTGTTTAGCTTATGAAATATATTTTCAATGCCCGGGAGAATTTACGGCATCTTGCCTTAGGTTTTTTTGTGATCTTTCCGTCGTTCTCAAAAAATTGTTATCAATGGTAAAGGTTCCTCCGGATCGGTAGTATCAAGTCAGTATCAAGTCCCTCAGAGCTCGATTCTTGGCCCATTCCTGTTCTTAATCTATATTAAAAATTTACCTTATCTTGTAGGGGACAATCACGATATAGTATTATTTGCTGATGATAATACCTCTATAATTTTCAATGTCAAACGACAGTCAATTAATTTTGAATGTAAATAATGCTCTATCGAAATTAGTACATTAGTTAAACGCCAACAATTTGCTCTTAAGCGGCAATAAGAAAAAATGTATTAAATGTACAATACTTAATGTTAAACATTCTAATACCAATGTGGTTTTAAATGGGGAGGAGTTGAGTCTTGTGGATACCACTGTTTTCACACGCGAAGCTTAAATGGGGCCCCCATATATCTAAATTAGCAGGCAGACTTAATTCTGCAGCATACTCGTATGCTGTAAGAAAGATTAGAAGTCTGACCAATGTTGAGACAGCTAGATTAGTTTATTTTAATTACGTTTATAGTTTGATGTCTTATGGAGTTTTTAAGGGATAATGCGACTGACATTTAAGTCATATCTATTTTGCAAAAGAGAGTCGTACGGGCAATTTATAACTTAAATTGTAAAGAGAAAAATTGAAAGAAATAAGCATATTAAATTTTACATCGCAATATATTTATGAAAATGTTATGTATGTACATCAAACATAAATAACTTTGATAAGAATAAAGATATTCATACTTTGAACACTAGGAACAAACATAAGCTTGTAATGCCAGATACTAGACTCCACAGAATTAGTAATTTATTTATGAGACAAGAAAATCGACAAAAATTTTCAATAAACATCTTTAAATGTTTTAGTAAAAAAATGTACAAAAAGGGTAACTATAATATTAAAGAATATATAAATGAAAATAACCCTGGGACCATTCCCAGGGGATATTTTCATTTAAGTCTTTATTTATTATGTACAGGTGATTACCAACATGCTGATTCTGTGAAAATTTATTTAAAAATTGTGCAAGCAAAATTATTGTTAACTGAAATATGTTTAAAAAAAGTCCCGCTGTTGTTTCTTGCTGGTTGTTCCCAGGACAGAGGTATTTTCCGAACTAGTGGTAATTTAAAAAATTACATTCAATAAGTAAAAAAAAAGTTAAAGTTACAGCCTATATACGTCCCACGGCTGAGCACAGGCCTCCCGTCATTTCTGAGAGGGTTTTAGGGCAAGGAAATGTCCGCCGCGCTGCCCCAATGCGTGTTGGCGAACTTCACATGTCTTCGAAATTTTTTTTCTTATTTCTCAGGCATGCAGGTTTCCTCACGATGTTTTCCTTCACCGCCGAGCACGTGATAAACCAGCACTTAAAATTGCCATTAATAATTTCATTGGTGCCGGCGGGGATCGAACCCGGGTTGCGGTTGTTCACCGTACTGTGAAATTTACAGCGAGCGTTAACCATATGAGTTACTACGGCATCTGTATTATATAAGTATTATGTAATAATCTATATTGAATAAAAATTGTTCTATTCTATTTTGTGATACAGGAGAAACACTAGATGACGCGGGTTACGCTGTGTGGGGCAACTATCAGCCCGATGGTGGAGAAAATGAGCAATGCGGTTCGATGTTCTACAACGGCCATTTAAATGATATCAGCTGTGAAGCACAAAGATGTTTTTTTATATGCGAGAGAGAAAACGAGCTTCTTAATATTTTTAGTGAGAGGTTCGGTCAATAGGATATTTTAGATAAATACAAGATTTGAAAAGATAACATACTTGTAGGAAAAAGGGGTTGGCCATGATGAATAAAAATTCAGGGATTACAAGATAATATTTAGTTTTATTAATTATAAATTGCACCAGGGCACATCTATAATTAATGATAATAATTAATTTCAAATTAATAATTCAGTGCACCGAGTCACGCCAGAGCCAAGAATGCTCGGTCCGTCGCTGCGCGGTCATTTTATATCTGTTGCAAAACAAGTCGAGTGGCGCGCCGAGTGGCGTTATCGGTGCACGTGTTGTTTAAAATTTTTGCTGTACCGGCGTACGACAAAGGCGCCGTCATGCCGTCATACTCAGACATTGTTGTTCAATACTTAAAATATTGTCTACTATTGTTATGTTTTAATACATCTGTGATCCTTTATTTCATTTTTCACCGTTAAAAAAATTGTTTTAATAAACGTTAACGGAGTAGTTATACGTACAGTAGAGGCTCGCGGCCTAGTTATAGAATTCGATGTAAATGTAAGAAATGCTTAAAGTTCTTGAAGGTCCCTAAATCATATCGGTCCGGAAAAATCTCTGGTGGTAGTCGATTCCACAAGGAAGCTTTGCGAGGAAGATAACTTCTTGTAAATCGCACAGTGATGGACCGCCAATCATTAAGATAGTATGAATGGTATCGGGAGATTTGTCGCTATGTGCGATGCTGAAATTGAGTGGCTGAAATTAGTCCGAACAATTCCTCAGAGTACTCCCCGTGGTAGATGCGATAAAATATAGAAAGAGATGCAACATCTCTGCAGTGCCTGTGAGTCAAGCCGATTTCAGAAAGACCTCGGTCAGCCGACGATTCAAAGCGCCCTGCGCTGGATGCGATTAAGTGGAAGGATCTGGCACTGGGGAGCCACAGCCCAGAGATGGGAACAGTATTCCATGTGAGGTCGAACCTGCGCCTTGTAAATTTGCAGGCGGTAAGCCAGCATGTAATACTGTCCTGCTCTGCTGAGCACGCCAAGTATTTTTTTCTTTTTTTGTCTTTGTTTCTCTAATTTCTTATTTATGTTATTACTGTTTTTCTTATTTATTTTATTATTATGTAATAATATTTTCTTCTTACTTTATACTTCGCCATTTGTTAATAAATGTGCAAGCAAAATTATTGTTAACTGAAATACGTTTAAAAAAATTATTTTAGAAGGATTATCTATTATTATTATATTTACATGATATTTTATTGATTATAAGTTATCTTACATTAGTCATTTAAAAGGAAACAATTATTTATTGGCAAATTTTACACCGATACTCGTAAGACATGTCAATGACTCTAAAAGTTATAATGCAACATCTTAGCGTAACATGTCTCTGAAATACATTAAATAAATAAATATGATAATAACTGATGAAACAGGTTTTATATTTCGAAAATTAAAACTGTGTCCTACTAAAAGCGCAAAAACTTTATAGACAATGCGTAATACATCGTAATATCAACCAAACGGTAAACCGTTGCTATCTTATGCATGCATAGAACTTGTAATTACTTAAGTAATTTAAAAAAAAAGTATTTTAAAAAGCTTGTAATGGGATCTCTTCTTTTTTTACAATATCTATATTTTAGTGGTACATCGCTGGATTGTTTTTATATTGTCCAATATATTTTTATATAGTATTTCCATAAATATGTGAATTAAAACATCCATAACAGCTTGTTTGCTAAAGTGCAATGAAGTGGACGATATGAATGACAAGTTCGTCGAAACTGTCCTTGCGGTCGGAGCTAAGTTCTGCAAGACCCGCCGCAGAAGAACACAAAAACTCTCCGATCACACTTTTAATCTCATGGCTGTTAGACGGGAGATGAAGCTACATTCTTCAACAGATTTGACAGAATACAGGCAACTGAACAGACAGATCTCCAAATGCATGCGGCGGGACTTACGCAACTTCAATACAGCTCATATTGAAGAAGCGATCGAGCGAAACCAAGGCTCCAAGGTCTTTGCCAGAGATCTGTCTGCCAGAAAGAGCCAACTGTTGAAGCTGAAGACCGAGTGTGACAGCATCGTTTCCGGGACATCTGAGATTTTGAGTGAGATTGAGAGGTTCTATACAGGCAGCTGTAAACGTTATCGTTGGAGCCGCACGCAAGTGTGAGTAACGATCCAAGAGCGAGTCTTATCCGACACTATTCCGAAGATATCCCGGACGTCAGTCTGAGCGAGATTAGAATGGCTCTCCAGCACCTTAAAAACGGCAAGTCACCGGGTGAGGATGGAATTACAGCGGAGCTTTTGAAAGCGGGTGGAAAACTGGTACTTGAAGTCCTTTAGAAGCTCTTTAATTCCGTCTTCTATGGTGGCACTACTCCGGAGGCGTGGAACAGAAGTGCGGTCTTGTTCTTCAAGAAAGGCGACAACGCTCTCTTGAAGAACTACAGACCGATTTCCCTTCTGAACCGCGTCTACGTGCTGTTTTCGAGAGTCATTACGAATCGTCTCGCACGCAGATTTGACGACTTCCAGCCTCCTAAACAAGCTGGTTTCCGAAAAGGCTTTAGTACCATGGACCATACATACCCTGCGGCAGATTATACTGAAGAAAGAGGAGTATAATCTGCCACTTTGCCTTGCGTATGTGGATTATGAGAAAGCCTTTGATTCCGTCGAAATTTGGGCGGTGCTGCAGTCACTTCAGCGGTGCCAAGTTGGCTGTCGGTATATCGAAGTGCTGAAGTGTTTGTACAGTAGAGCTACGATGGCTGTCCGAGTACAGAATCAGAGTACAAAACCTATCCAACTGCAGAGAGGTGTAAGACAGGGTGACGATATATCCCTGAAACTCTTCACCGCTGCATTGGAAGACATTTTCAAGCTACTGGACCGGAAAGGATGCGGTATTAAGATCAATGGCGAACACATCACTCACCTTCGATTTATCGACGATATAGTCCTTATGGCAGAATCGCTGGAGGACTTAAGTACTATGCTCAATGACCTCAATACTGTCTCCCAACGGATAGGTCTTAAGATGAACATGGACAAAACAAAAATCATGTTTAACGTCCATGTCACCCACCTTTGCCGGTAGTTGTTGGGGGCACTAAGCTCGAGGGTTGTTGAAGAATATGTTTACCTGGGACAAATAGTCCGACTAGGTAAGTCCAACTTCGACCGAGAGGTCAATCGTCGGATTCAACTCGGCTGGGCAGCGTTCGTCAAACTACGACACATCTTCTCGTTAGACATACCTCAAAACCTGAAAACGAAATTGTACAACCAGTGCGTGTTGCCAGTGATGACATACGGAACTGAGACGTGGTCCTTCACTGTTGGCCGTATAAGGAAGCTCAAGGTTGCTCAGCGAGCTATGGAGATGGCTATGTTCGGGGTTTCTCTGAGTGAAAAACTTAGAAATGAGGATATCCGCAGTAGAACCAGAGTAACTGACATAGCCCAACGGATTAGTAAGCTGAAGTGGCAGTGGGCCGGCGATATGGCTCGAAGAACCGACAGCCGATGGGGAAAAAAGGTTCCCGAGTGGCAGCCTCGTACCGGTAGGCGAAGTGTAGGGCGACCCCCCACTAGATGGAGTGACGACCTGGTAAGACATGCAGGAAGTCGATGGATGCAGGTGACTCAGGGCCGTGCTTTGTGTCATTCCTTGGGAGAGGCCTATGTTCAGCAGTGGACTTATGAAAGGCTGTAATGATGATGATGATGATTAGGAAGGCGGTGCTGCCCATCACCTGGCTTATATTGATATTCTTACATCGCCACTACATGGTGCATAAAATCTAATAACCTTCTACAGAGAAATAGCCCATTTTTTACTAGGCCCATTAAAATGTGTGCTATGATGGATGGCCAGATGGGGTCCCCCCAATAGTGCTGAAGACGTATTCGTACAGGTTCTTACGCGTCTTTTCCGGTTCTCCAATTTTTTTAAACGACGTTTCAAGCTCATGTAAGATAGTCTTAGTGCATCCTTAAAAAAGACGACTGTTCAGGCCTGTTCAACTACGGTTCTAATTGCTCCCCGTTCCATAATCTCCTTGTTCTTCAATATAATGTCAATTATAATCTGCCAGCTCATCAGGTACCTTTTTTACATGGGGAAATGCTTACGCATACCCGCCTCGCGGGGGCAAGGACGGGTTATGTCGAACACGCACCGACTAAAACCCCATGGTGTTCCACCTTCACCGCATATTGGCAGGGCCACGGGAAAGCTTTCGCACAAATCCGCGGCCCCACCAGTGCCGGCTGCCCCATGGCAGCTCCTTATCGGGGGATGACCTCTCCTCAGCGAGATCTCGAATAGGGGGTGACTAAATCTAGTCACGTATAATCTTCAGCAGACACTTAAAATCATGTCTACGTACACACAAAAAAAAAGAAAAAATTATCCGTTTTTAATTATCAATAATAATTCTTATTTCTAAAATTAATGGTATTTGTCCTTTACAATATTAATATAATTCGCTATCGGACTCTATTACGAAGAGCACGTAAGTTTTTGGGTACAAATACAAACGCATTAGCATCTATTACAGATGGATTCATCGTCGCTTGGGAATTCCAGCAAACCGGTTCGCGTATTATTGAATTAAAATATTTCAAACACTATCACCATATTTATCTCATCACGTATTCAATACTTATAACTCTCGATAGAATCTATTATTCAAACAATTTAAAAAATCTTTTCTATAATATAAAATACCAATACTTAAAAAGTGATTACGAATAAGCAATCTTTTAAATGTGAATTTTCAGGCTTGCTCCTGATTCAAATAAAATGTGCTTTTCAGATGATAACCGTAATATAGGCACGTGTTTTAAATTAATATTATGATGCTCTCTTGGTCGAATGGACCCTTGGACCAATGAATGAACAGCGATAAATTATGTAACTTATTTACCATTGGGAAAAGTTACGAATCTTGTCATTATAATAAGATTATTGCAATTTGACGATTGTAGAAGACAGCAACAACACAAATGAAGAAAAAGGAAGAAATCAAAATGCGGGAAAATATGCGTTGTCACCCCTGAGGAATGTCTCGTATAGTGTCTCTCTATACTTCTATTTAACGCTGGTATTTTGTAAGAGTGTGTTCCTTCCCGAACCAACCTATTTGTGCTACAATCATAATATAGCTGCAACATGGCTCTACGACATATAAATTATTTAATGTTATTAATTTTAGGCTGGGAAAAATCTTTCTTCATATTTTGTTTGTATAAAATTGAAGAAAAATCTCTTTGATTGTAACTGTTTGTATCGAGTCGTGTAGCACAAAGTTAGTTCAAGCGTTTTCAGTCCGGGAATTTTGTTGTCAAATATGCAGCTCGCACTGGTCACTCTCATACGGAGAAAGTCGATGCCATTTTTGAAAAAGTGGAGCAAAATCAGCATATTAGTAGTTACGACATAGCCTAGGAATTGAGGATTGACTACAAAAAATTTTGACCCATTTGAAAAATACTGGCTATAAAAAAAAAACTTGTTAATTACCACACGAGCTTACTGAAAGAAACCTAATGAATCGCGTACTCATTTTCGATTCTCTATTGAAACGTAATGGAACCGAACCATTTTTGAAAAGATTGATCACTGGTGATGAAAAATGAATCACTCACGACAAGAACGTGCGAAAAATATCATGGTCAAAGGGTAGTCAAACTCTACAGACTGTAGCGAAAAAAGGTGATGCTGTGTGGTGTGGTGGGATTGGAAGGGCATCATTTATTATGGTGTTGGTTGACCGTACGAGTATAAAGTAATAAATTTAAGAATTTCTACACTATTTACAAATTATCTTAAAATGTAAAGTAAATGTTTTGCATACTCATCATTTGTAAGTATGTTTTCTAGTTCAGCTTTGAATAAATACAAATTGATACCAAAATAACGATGCTTAAACAGAATGCGAAATAGATCATGGTCAAAGGGTAGTCAAGCTCCGCAGATTGTAGCGAAACCCGGATTAACAAGCAATAAGGTGATGCTGTGTGTATAGTGGGAATCTTTATTATGAACTTTTACCGCCGGGCAAAACCATCGATTCGGATCTCAACTAATGAGACTCAAGCAATAAACTGAGAAAAAACGGTTGGAATTGATCAACAGAAAATAAGTGGTCTTTCATCGTGATAATGCCAGACCACACACATCTTTGGCCGTTCTGCAAAAATTGAAAGAGCTTGTTCGAGAAGTTTTAATGCATTCATCATATAGTACTGACATTGCACCCTCAGATTTTCATCTGCTTCGGTCTTTTTAGAATTATTTGGGTTTGGAGTATTAGGTTAACATCAAGAGAGTACTGTCAAAACTACTTGTCGCATTTTTTTGATCAAAAATCCCAAAATTTCTACAGCAACGGGAACATGTCACTACCTACAAGATGGCAAAAAGTTATCGAACAGAATGGTACATAACATATACTATCATAATTAAATGTAATGAAACTGAATAAAATATCTTGAATTTGTATATAAAATACGCTGAAACTTTTCTCCGATATTATATTATGACAATATTAACAGTTGTTTCGGTGACGATTAAATCATTTTCTATATTAACGACGGTACTTTATGTTCAACATAATCAAACAATAAAAATCTCTACATACTGCTGCATAGAACCACGCTATCATTGATTATATGCGTAGCACAAAATGTACAGAAACCGGTCGAGAACCGGACATCTATTTACTTACATGTCATTATATATTCCTCAAACGTAACATAGTGACTAAACAATCTGCTCATACATATATAATATAGCAATGCTAGGGCCTATTATGAATGCATCACGAATGGATTTGGTCAACCGCGATAGGACCTCGTTCTCATAGAATACCAACGTAATATAACAACATAATGTTGTCTGTCAACTGTAATTATGGAATGTAGACCCCCTTTTACTGGCAACGAGGCATTCTATTTTAGTCCTCAGAGTTGACAACTATCTTCATCAACTTACCATCATGTGGACTTTATGCCCTTTATGTGATGATGATTTAACTGTGACTGATTCTTATTTTATCTTATAGTTTTAAATTGACTTTTTTGATAACAGGTAGATAAGTTTTTTTATTACTCTAAGCCAGCGCTTAACTACAATCCCACCTGATAGTAACTGGTGATGTAGCCTAAGATGGTGAAGCGCACTAACTTAACAAAAAACTATTCACTCTTGCCTTGAAGACACCCACATTGTAATCGGATGGAAAGACATATTATGCTGGCAACTTATTCCACTCCTTTGCTGTACGCATGATAAACGATGTAAGCCATTTGGTTCGAATGCGTGACAAGTCAACAACGAAAGGGTGGAGACTGGCCGAACGTCTGGTTGTCCGATGATAATGAGAGGGAGGAATTAAATTATACAATTCCTGCGCACACTCTCGGAAATCTCAATCTGCATCATGTGGAAAACAGAAAGGCTGACTACTTTGCGCTTGTGTTCGAGGCTGTGAAGATTGGTTTTAACCAAATTCGGGTCACCAATAAGCCTCTTAGTACGTCTTTTCATTGATTCCAAAGCTGCTAGGTGGCATTTTGCAGCAAAGGCCCATATATGGCAGCAATACTCCATTCACGACCGGACTTGCGATTTATATAAAGTAAGCAGCTGTCTTGGCGTGAAGTATCGCCGCATCTTTGCAAGGACTCCTAGCTTCCTTGCAGCTGTTTTGGGCTTGGCCTCAATGAACCACCCGAAGTTCAGATTTGAGGATATCTCAATCCACGTCATACTCTTATTTCTTACCACGTTAACGGTGCCAGTTGATCACCACCTAACGGTGCCCAAACGGTATTTGAAGATGATCGGAAGCCGCAACGTTGGACAGCACGCGTGCGACAAGAAACAAGACCAAGAACGACGACAAGACGCTGGTGGGAATGCGCATTTTCGAGGGCCCATACTACATACTTCTTCAGTTCGTTAAGCCCAATCGATAGCTGGCGCGATCGTGAGGATTAAACTGTATGTTTTTTAACGGTAGTAGAGCCATGCGGTAGCTCTTGCTGTTGCACGTATGGCCCGGCTCGAGCCGGGTTGGTACCACGACTTCACAGAATAACGGCACCCCTGGAGAATCCCTCGCTGAGCATCCACGACCAAGCTACTCCACTCATGAGCGTGGGTGCTCAGACTGCCCCGCGTATTCTGGGGGGGGGGGGGGGGGGCAAAATTACAATGCAACATCAGGCGCCTTCACTCAAACCTAAACGCCGCCCACTACCATCTCGAGATGGCGAAGACGGCTTTGGTCTTTCTGACCGACACGAAAACGTCGCCGAATATCACAAACTTGTGTCTGAAGTCAAATTTTCAGATTGGGGTCGACTAAATCTAGTCCAATTCAATCCCCAGAAGACACAAGTTTGCGCGGTTACCGCTAAATAGAACCTCTTTATCGTGCCTCCTCAGTTGCAGGGCACTCCCCTTGTTGTCTTAGCCAGTATCGGAATCCTAGGCGTCGACATATCGAGTGACGTACAGTGCAGTGACCACGACACTTGGCAGAGAAGGCCAAATTGGCCTCTAAACAGCTTGCCGTGCTCAGCAGAGCGGGACAGTATTTGATGCGGGCACAACGCCTGCAACTTTACAAGGCGCAGGTTTGGCCTCACATGGAATACTGTTCCCACCTCTGGGCTGGGTCGTCCCAGTGCCAGCTCCTTCCACTTGACTGAACCCAGCGCAGAGCGACTCGAAGCGTTGTCGATCGAGTCCATACCGATAGGCTCGATTCACTGGTGCTGCGAAGAGATGTTGCATCCCTTTGCATTTTCTTTCGTATTTACTACGAGTTTTCTGAGGAATTGTTCGAATTTATCCCAGCCAGCGGGATACCTTCCACACCATCTGGATGGTTGGCGGTCCACCACTGTATGTTTGATTAGGAGTTTTCTTCCCCGTACGACCTCTCTGTGGAATAATTTACCACCGGAAATTTTTTCGGACCGATACGACTTAGGGATCTTCAAGAAAAGAGCTTACTCCTTTTTAAAAATCCGGCAACGCACCTGCAATTCCCTTGGTGTTGCAGTTGTTCATCGGCGGCAGTAGTCTGCATACTGCTTACCCGTTGGTGTGTGACTACTTAACATCAGGTAAGCCGTATGCTCGTTTGCCCCCTCTCCTATAAAAAAACAGACAGAGTTTAATAACACAGCCGAAGAACTCGCCGCAATTAGAAGAAAGCGTTTAGAGATTGAAGAAGATTTAATTGAAAAGAAATACGCTACGGACAACACGCAGTTACAAGAAGAAACAGATTGGGAAAGTCTCGATGCAGCCGAAGTCGCCGAGAATACGAGCCGTGTAGACCAGCAGTGGTTAGATAACGTCAGCCCGCGCTCCG